TAATTTAATGAAATTAAGTATAAAAGCTATTATATAATAACTTATAATATATTATATATAAAATATAACGTTCTTCTAACTCGTAGTCGCATATATATATATATATATATATATATATATATATATATATATATATATATGTGTGTGTGTGTGTATGTATATATATAAATAAATAAAATGAGGAACAAATGTTTTAGTGGAATTTGGTTTAAGTTTCAATTCAAATTCTTAGCTATTTCCTTTAGTTTTCTAGAATACTTCCTATTTCCACCAATTAGGCCATTTTATTCTAACTTTTATATAATTTTGGTCATTTTTATTTTTTTATTTTTTTATTTTTTTTTATTTTTTATTTTTGTCATAGGTTCATGCATCTATTTCTTCATTTTTATATATTTATTTTCTTTTATTTTAATTTTCTTTATGTGTGTTTTTTTTATTTATTCAAACCACGTAATTTTTTTTATTTTTTTATTAGTTGAATTATGTTTAAATTGACAAAAATGATGGTATATAAAACTGTAAAAATAAAATTCAACTTTAGTTTAATTAATTACTATGGTAATTTTTTTTTTTACTTTTTACCTAAATTATTTTATTTTTCCTTTAATTAAATATAAAGCACGAATATCCAAAGAAATTCAATGGAGACCACAGACTTCAAATATTTTGAAGATTATAATCTATTAATAATCAAACTTCAAAGGTTTTTCATAAAAATAATGATTATTTATTTATTATTATTGTAATATTCACGTGCATAACTCCAATGTCACGTGCCACCAACTTCCTATATAAACGACTCTTCATTCTCTTCATTTCCCAAATCACACCGAACTTTCAAATCCTTAATGGCTCCAATTCTCTCCAAAATCGCCATTGTCGGTGCCGGAGTTAGTGGCGTCGCTGCCGCCAAGCAGCTGGCCCACCACCGGCCGGTCGTTTTCGAGTCGTCTGATTGCATCGGCGGCGTTTGGAAGCACTGTTCTTACGCTTCCACTAAGCTTCAATCGCTTCGTTCCGATTACGAATTCGCCGATTTTCCTTGGCCGGACAGGGACAACATCAATTTCCCTTCCCATCTCGAGATTCTCGAGTATTTGAATTCTTACGTTCGTCATTTTGATCTCCTCCGTTTCATTCGATTCAATTCCAAGGTCGTTGCCCTTCGATTCATCGGTGGCCACGTCATCGATGGAAACCCCGACGAGTTTGGACCGCTGCTCCCAGGTCATCCCGTATGGGAAATCTCAGTTCTCGATACTCAGTCTAATACAATTCAGGTTAATTTAACTGTTAATGATATAGTTGTGTAGAATTACGGTATTTGATATTTTATTATAAACAAATATCTGAATGAGATGGGGTGCAGTTATACGAGGTGGAGATGGTGGTGATGTGCATGGGAAAGTACGGCGACGTTCCGATGGTGCCGGAGTTTCCGAGCGGGAAGGGGCCGGAGATATTCGCCGGGAAGGTGATGCATTCACTGGATTATTGCAAGCTTGGGAAGGAAGAGGCAGGTGAGGTGGTTAAGGGTAAGAGGGTTGCAGTGATTGGATACAAGAAGTCGGCCATTGATTTGGCTGTCGAATGTGCTGAGGCTAATGAAGGTAATTTTAGCATTAATAGGTGATTAATTAAAGTAATTAATGATGGATTATTATGAGTAAGTGAATTGGATTAGGGGAAGAAGGGAAGGCATGCACAATGGTGGTGAGAGGGTTGCATTGGACGGTGCCCCATTATTGGGTTTGGGGTTTGCCATTCTTCTTGTTCTTCTCCACAAGGTCTTCTCAGTTCCTCCATGAAAGACCCAACCAGAGCTTCCTCAAGTCTCTTATGTGCCTCTTCTTGTCTCCCATGGTAAAATTTACTTGGTGTCTTTCTGTTGTGTCGGGATGAGACATTTTTATGATCTAACCCAGTTAATATTCGAGTCGGGAATTTAACTCCTCTCTTTCTTTATTGTGTTCGTGGAGGATTGTGTTGTGTTGGGATGAGACGTTTTTTGACCTAACCCAGTTATATTCGAGTTGGTAATTTTAGTCTATCTCTTTCTTTCTGTGTTCGTGGGGATTGTGTTGTGTTGGGATGAAATATCTTTTTGACTTAGCCCAATTATATTTAAGTTTGTAATTTTACTCCTCTATTTCATTCGTGAATGGTGTTGTGTCAGAATGAGACATTTTTCGACCTAACCCAGTTATATTCGAATTCATAATTTTATTCCTTTCTTTCTTTTTGTGTTTGTGGGGATTGTCCTCGTTGAGATGAGACATCTTTTTTACCTAACCCAATAATAATTGAGTTCGTAATTTACTCCTTTCTCTCTCTCTTTCTGTGTTCGTGGGGATTATGTTGAGTCGGGAAAAGACATCTTTTTTTACCTAACCTACTTATATTCGAGTTGAGAATTTTACTCCTCTTTTTTTGTGTTCATGAATTGTGTTGTGTCGGGATGAGTCTTTTTTTTCTTTTTTTTTTTTACCTAATCCAGTTATATTTGAGTTGGTAATTTAAGTGGATTGAGCTAGTTTGAGATGTTTCACGTCATTTATACAAATTTTTGTGTTTAATAAAAATAGGACGTTAGTGAAATATTTATTTATTTATTTATTTTTCACATATATTTTGAAAATTTTCCTTAAAATAAATAATAAAAATAATTATGAAATTAAATAATATATTACGTATTGAGACAAAAATGTTTTTTTTTATTTACATTTTTTATATATTTTAAATATTTATTTTTTATGGACAGAGGCATACAGTTTCAAAATTCATAGAATCATATCTGACGTGGAAATTCCCACTAAAAAAGTATGGGTTGAAGCCGGAGCATTCATTTATTGAGGACTACGCCTCCTGCCAGATGGCTATCATGCCGGAAAACTTTTTCCGGGAGGCCGACGACGGCAAAATCATCATAAAACGAGCCTCCAAGTGGTGGTTTTGGAACGGTGGCATTGAGTTCGACGATGGCTCCCGGTCGGAGTTCGACGTCGTCATTATGGCCACCGGCTTTGACGGGAAGAAAAAACTCACTGACGTTTTTCCTATGCCCTTTCGCACCTTTCTTCAGTATCCTTCCGGCATGATGCCGTTGTACCGGTGAGTCACTGTCAAGTTGACCCAACAAAAAAAATATATATTTTTTAGCGAAAATTTAATTTCAATTAATTCTAAATTTGATTTTAAACTTAAAACGCTAATATATAATTATAATATTTGAATATAGTTTAGTGGATAAAATTAATTATAAATTTATATGTGCACGGACAGGGGTACGATCAATCCAATGATACCGAACATGGCGTTTGTAGGGTATTTGGAGAGTGTGGCGAACTTGCACACGTCGGAGCTACGGAGCATATGGCTGGCCCGACTGGCGGACGAGAAGTTCAAGGTGCCGGAGACGTGCAAAATGGTGGAGGAAATAAAGAAAGAAATGGAGGTGATGAAGAGGACGACGAGGTTCTACAAAAGACACTGCATTTCAACTTACAGTATCAATCACAGTGATCAGATCTGTGAGGAGATGGGTTGGAACCCATGGAGGAAGAACACTTGGTTCTCTGAAGCTTTCTCTGCTTATGGCAGTCAAGACTACAACGCCACCAACACCAACATCAAATGAATTGACCTATTATTTATATACACACATACATACGCTAAATGTATGTTCTACGTGTTGTTCTCGGTCTTTTTTTCAATAAAATTTTTATTGTTTTTAAGAGATCCCACATCGGTGCGAGAGAAAAACGAAACATTTTGTCTCTCCCTAATAGACATGTTTTAAAACCGTGAGCTTAATGACAATATATAACGATGGGCCTAATCTCTTACATTGAATCAAATAATTTATAACAATTACAAAATGAATTTTATCAATAATATTAACCAGATAAAACCATGGATGTTACAAGTTTGCAAATACAAATACTAAAAAATAATTATTGAATAATAATATTTATCAAGCTTTAAGAATGTAAGTCCCAACATTAGTACTAAGAAAGAAACGAGCTACGTCTGAATTAAACTTGGAGATAGGAAGTTTTGTTTCATTTCTCAATACTAAGAAAAAGCTCATGAGTTTATTATCCTAGGTAGAAAAGACTCTCCTCGTGTTTCTCTCATGAGGGGGATAAGGTTTCTCTTGCTTTTAGCACAACGAGAGGTCTACCCATCGGGCTATTAATTAGCTCAATGATAAAGTACATCCTTGATAATTGCATTGTTGTGCCTAGATAGCTATGTAGATAGTTCTACTCATTAAACCAAACCTTGAAGTGTGCACTATTCAAGGCATGTTAGCAAGGCAAACTCCTCCTATTTGAACCATGACTTGAAACCAAACTTCTCTTTGGGAGGATAGATTGTCGATTCAAGTAAGATCCAAATGTAGATTCAACTTCTATTTACTGGTGAGATCAAAATCACACATCCCTTATCAGTATATAGACAACTATCTCTCAAACACATGACCTTGCCCAAGGCGACAGAGAACGGTGGTGGTCGACTGTGTGGAGAAGATTGGGGACTCCTTAGAGGAGCTCAGCAACACTCTATGCATCCTCCGACACCTCTACGGCAGCAACCGACAGTGGTTATGGCTGCAGATGGGCAATGCCCAACGTGGGTCAGCGCCGCCTTGACCAACGAAGACACGTCTTGATGGGTTTAAGGAAGTCGACGGGGACGTGCAATTGGGCGCTCCTTGAGCTTGGTGGCGGCGGTGATAGGGGGCAGGTTTAGAATAAATACTTTTCACTAAATTGAACATTGGTTCGGTCTAATTTTTTTTTTAAAAAAAAAACCCGAATGGCTCGGTTCTTGGTTGGACTGAAACCCGGTTTTTGCAAAACCATCGGCACGACTCGGCTAAGGTCATCGGCGCTATAGTTCCAATCAGAAGGTCTTCTGATATTTGCTTGATCTTTTTCATAACATTTTAGTTCCAATCAGGAGATTAAGCTCTCCTTCAAAACGGAGGCAAATAAATCAAAATCATTTAGCCTCCAAAATGTTATATAATGCATATGATTAGGACAATTAAAGTGTATCTCCATGGAAAATATAGCAGAGCAAAATGGCTTGTTTATCAACGCTGTAGAAGCTACTAAATTCCTCAAAATCAACATAGTACTACACAACTGTTCAGAAAATGTTATAATGTTTACCAGGCGATCTTTGGCCTAAGTTCTGCTCGATCACAAGTGATTGGACGGCCAACCAATTTGTGTTGCTGTATGTCTTGCGGAACAATCATTGGACCACGGTGAATAACCCACAACAGTCGGCAACTGCAAGACATAACAGAGTTTAGACAGTATACGAACTTCGAGTGTTGTATGTTGGATGATGAAAGTCCCACATCGGTTAATTTAGGAAATGGTCATGGGTTTATAATCTAAGAATACACTCTCCATTGGTATGAGGCCTTTTGGGAAGCCCAAAGCAAAGCCATGAGAGCTTATGCTCAAAGTGGACAATATCATACCATTGTGGAGAGTCGTGTTCGTCTAACATGGTATCAGAGCCATGCCCTAAACTTAGCCGTGTCAATAGATTGACAAATTCTTAAATGTCGAACAAAGGACTCCAAAAGGAGTCAAGCCTCCTCGAAGGTACGAAGGCAGTCAAAAATGACTAAGACTCCAAAGGAGTCGAGCCTCGATTAAGGGGAGGCGTGCTTTGTTCGAGGGGAGGTGTTGGATGATGAAAGTCCCACCTCGGTTAATTTAGGGAATGGTCATGGGTTTATAATCTAAGAATACACTCTCCATTGGTATGAGGCCTTTTGGGAAGCCCAAAGCAAAGCCATGAGAGCTTATGCTCAAAGTGGACAATATCATACCATTGTGGAGAGTCGTGTTCGTCTAACATGGTATCAGAGCAACAATCACCAAAAAAAAAAAAAAGAGGAAGCACTAAGTGTTCGTCTAACATTGTACTCGTACTCGTGTTCGATTTTGTTATCCAAATTGAATCTGTCAAGTTTGAACACTATATATCACGATATTTTCTTCTATATACACGTGTCCAGACCAGCTAGCGCATACTTTGTCGAGATTTGTCGAGATAACTAGTATGAGAGAAAAAAAACTTGAGTACCTTGTAAGCATTAAGCTGAACAACTCCCGTTTAAGTTTTTCAGGGTTTCATTTGTACGGGGCAAATAGGATGGACGAATTATGGCCGCCAAACCCAAAGGAGTTAGACAGTGCGACCTTGATTTCCAATCTTTCTTTCTTTGGGCCCACGAGTACATTTGTGTCCTGTAGCAATTTGTTGCCATGGAGTATGTTAAGGACCAAAAAGAGTTCGAACATATTCCATAATCGTGTAATAGATTGATCAGAACAAGCCACATACCACGCCCACATCTGGGTTTTCTAAGTTAATATTTGGATGGATCCATCCTGTTCTTATGGCCTGTACCATGAAGTAATCTCACATCAGCAACGTCACCATGATTGGTGAAGTGAAAAATGTAATTGGAACAACATATTTATTACTCGTGCCAAGGTAAAATTGTATATAAAAATCGGGAATGCATATCATGAATGAACTTTTCAACAGCCTTGTTCATGATATGGATAATCTGGCACATGAAGAAACTAAATTTGAGAAGTTTCCATCATTCAATTTTAATTATCACGTTTGATAAATCTCACCTGTATGGTGGCAACAGCCTCGACAGCACCTGCCGCCCCTAGTAGGTGACCAACCATAGACTTTGTGGAGTTCACTCTTAACTGCAAAATCATTGATATGTCGAGCATGCGGTCACCTTTACGTTAGACAGAAGTAAAAACTGTAATTGCATGGTTAATTACCTCACGGTTCTTGTCAAAACAATGTACGAGAGCTTGATATTCTTTAATGTCTTCACCTGGTGAAGATGCTGCATGTGCATTTACGTAATTCACATCTTCCTTGGATACTCCAGACTGAGCTAATGCCTTCTCAATGCAGAGAAAAATACCGGCCCCTGTATAAGATGCATATTGAGCATAATACAAGCTTTAGCCAGTGAATCTGTGATGTAGCCTTTAGTTGAAAAAATTATGGCGATATACTCATGGCATTGATTCCGAACTATCTGTAAAGATGTTACATCACACAGAAATTGATACATATTCAAGAAGACATTATTCAAATCATGGTTTTGTAAGACGGTAGTTGGTTTCTCCAAATAAAATATTTGAGATGGCAGCAACAGTATAAATGCAGTGTATTAAAATGGAGTTCTAGTTCCACAAGCAAAGGAAACCTAACATTAAGAGAAGTGAAGACTCGATTAACTCCACCCACGTCTAGATAAGAAACATCTACGAATGATCTAAAGTTGAGATCATTAGGAAAGAATGAAACCTGTTTTTTATGCCAAACAAAATTACATCAAAACAAGTAAAGACGTCAGTCATATGTACTACAATTGAAGAGTACAACTCTAGGTAAAAATTGTACAAATTTTCAGGGAACATTGGAAGCGGTCTTCACTGTGCCAAGGACAAGAATGGGAGGAAGTACAGGAGAGGAATGAAAGGGGCTGAATGATCTCCAATGGTCCGATACCTTAGAAAATTCAAACGGCTTCATTGAGGAGATGAGAAATCAGAGGGACAAAATAAGTCGTGAAATTCTAGAAGTGATCCACAAGGAGTGCTCGTTACGAGGTAAAAATCCAGGCACTAACGGTAATTGGAAAGGGAAGAAAATACCTCTCCACTATATGACATCATCTGGATAAAGCAAAAAAAAAAAAAAAAAAGGAATCCAATTCTGAACTGCAGGTTTCAAATAGTAATTCCCTTGGCAAACAGGTATACAATTTGAAATTTTGAAATATTTCGGTTAACGATTACGTCCAACACGGCTCACAGCAAAATCACACGTTCTTCCTTTTCTCTAGCATTCCTGAAGTTAAAATTCCAACAAACTCTATCATTAGACGTGAGCTGATCAGAGTCTTAGGAATTGACCAGCAAAGATGCCTTCCAAAATCCTTAACTGCCGTTCACCACATGAGTTGAATTACTAAAGACGAAATCCTTCAGCTTGGCTATATAAGATCACGGGCTTTTAATACTAGCGTTGAGCGCAAACACCAATGGACCAATCTACTCATCCTTCCATACCACTACTGCTTTCCCTCTCTGTCAACTTGCTAATGGTGAATTATTTTTCTACTCTGAACAACCACCTGTCTGGATTTCCCCCACTGAAGATGGAAATTTCCAAGCATTACACAAAGTGGTTCTCTATCAAACCTTTTAGTTCCTTCTATTTCTTTCTTCCCTCCTAAAGAATCGATGATGTAGCTTCCATCACACTTTTTTTCCTCCACTTCTATACAATGTTACTTATCAACTATGATGCACTCCAACTTTCTCCATCACTCTCCCTGAGTTCGTCTCCATGAATTGTTGGATCTCCTCCCTCGTCTATAACACATTTTATACACCTATAATCTTCTCTATAATGACAGAGCCTCAAATAGACTTCCAATTTCTTAATAGCTACCGTGCTCTAGTGATCCAGCTCCAACACCACTTTCATATCATAGTGGAATTATCATTAAGAAGAAAACAAATAACCAGAAAAGGACACAGAAATGTACTAGACAGCTCCTCTATCTCTTCATCTTCCTGCTCAACTTTGGAAGTTTCCCTAACTTAGACCCTCCCCCCTTCTCCCATCCAAATCCAGCATTGTATACAAAATTCTGGTTTCAAAAATTAAGAGACAGCGAGTCAAGGAGGGTTTAATAATCTCTTTATAAGGATTCCTGATAAAAATATCCCTTTCAAACATTTATGCCCAAAGCAAGGAAGAGAAAATACAGAGATATACATAGAGGAAGCCAACCAATCCTATTAAAGATCATCTTACAGACCCAGTAGATCAAAACTGAGACCAGGAGAGACAGAAACTGATGAAGACACCCCAAGAAGCAAAAAAAAAAAAAAAGAAGAAGAAGAAAAATGCTAGTCACTAATTTGCAAGATAAACAGCTAATCTTTAGAACCTCAAGCTTAGTGTCCACACTACTGCAACTGTAGCAATTTCCACCATCGCAAGCATACGTATCTGCACCATCTTGCAGGTAGCTATCCTTGGCTATATGCCCTGTTCTCCCTCCACTTAAATCAAGCACCACCACTGCCAACACCATGTAACTCCCGTGCTCACCTCTATGTAACTACCTCGGTCAATGCCACCACCATTAAACCTATATCCTCCACCACCACCACATCTTTCTCTTCCACCACCTCTTGTTACTTCCACCTTCGTACCTACCTCTCTTCTACTGCCTTGACCCTTGCCTCCTTGGCTGCTTAGCACAGATCACTTGCCCAGACCAATGACATCAACAGCCTTATAACAACCATCACATTTTGCCTCAATCACAAGTTCCACATCTTGTTGAACCCCAGGATTGCAAAATGCTTCTACTCTGATGGAAGATTGGTGGGCAAAAAGATCCACGACTCTTGGCTCAAATAAGGCAGTAGAATAGTCATATTCCCTATTGCTCACTGGACCACCTTGCATTCTCACTCACCCTCAATTCCCGATCTCTAGCCACTCAACAATGACAAGACCCTAAGACTTCTCTCTTTACTCAGTCTCAATAGCTCGAGAAAGGCTTACGCTTTTCAAAATTATCTCAATATTTGATCTCAGGAAATTGGAAGTGAGCTTAAAAGAACAATTTAGTGACTTACAAACTCTATTGAACCATAACTAGTTCCACTAGAAGTAGTTTGTTACAACTCTGCACATTTCTAAACTCAGTAGTTCCTTCGGGAAGAAAACATTCACCATAACAATCACAACTAAGAGATATAGAGAAGATTGTATTATCCATCAGTTAATCATTCCTATTTCATGTAAAACCTTATACTGCAAAATACAGGACGCATGCATTACAAAACCTTTATGACCTTCGAACAGTACATATTTCTGATTTTTAACTGTAAAATCTGAGGGACCTCTGGGAGAGGAGAAAAGGAATCGGCGATTGATTAAAAACTAAACAGTTGAAAGATTAAACAATGAAGAGTAACATCAGTATTGACATTAAGTTGTATAATGTCTTATATTGAAAAATACTTGGATTATTCCAGTAATATTTTCGACAATATTTATGACATGTAGGAGTGGGGATTTAACCTATGCTCATGTTGGCATAGCATTCTCATGATATTATTTTTGTAGAAGAATAGAATTTGAAAAACTAATAATGAAATTACAATTTAAAACAATTATTAATTTTTTATCCAAAACGCATGATTTTAAGAGGAATGAGATGCCAGAGAATCAAGGATGCCTAAGCATCCTTTGAAATCCGTTCTTGACTTTTCAAATAGGTCACTAAACTTTTAATTTTGAATCCAATAGGTACCCAACATATTTAACACTTATTAACATTAAGGAATCTACAAGACATAAAATTGTTTGATAGGACATTGTACTTTTGATTTTGTGTCCAATACATTTGTGAATTTTAAAAAGTATTTAATAGGTCAAGGAACTATTAGATACAAAACTGAAAATCTCATGACTTATCAGATAAAATCAAAAGTTCATGAACTTACTAGGCATTTTAAGAGATCTATTAGACACAAAATTGAAAATTCATGAACCAAACATTTTTTTTAAGTTTACAGTGAAACATGGAAGTTCAGGACTGAACTTTAAATTGAATCAATTTGATACAAACCTAATGAAAATGAATTAAAAAATAAATAAATAAAAGAATAAAAACTTTCAAAGACCAGTGAGCAGTCTCTGCAACTATTTTATATATACCCTCCCAAACACAGGTTCTGCTTCGAGTTCAAGAGGAATAACAGAAAATCCTTTGCGAAAAGTAAAAATGACACAATTACTCTAAAGTAACTCTAGTCCAATAATAAAATAAATATTCTGATAACTCCGAGGAAATGTGGTACAGGAGTTTCTCACAGGAATTTCTTACAAAACCAAAATTTAGTTTAAATAGAAGATATATCTTTTAAACATATTTTTGTTTCTCTTTGCTACTGAAGTAAATATTTAAATATTCTAGTAGAAAAATGCTTATTCTTCTCTGATAAATATGTATATATATCCCCATGCCTATAATATTTTAATAGTGTAAATATTTATGATTCTGAAATCATATTGATTTTAATCAATAATGGAGATAAGTAATCTACTTTAAAATTAAAGCCATGAAATAATTGATTTAAACATTAGCTAATTATTAAAGAATACCTCGCATCTCCTGCCATATCATAGAAAAGTGTACCAATCCGGAAAAATAATCAAGATCCTTTAACATGGTGCTATTCCATAATTTAAAATTGTAATAATAGTCAATTAATTTCACGGTTAATGATAGAGGATTACCATCAGGGTGTGGTTCGATCACGTGATAAGCATCACACGTGAAACTTCCACCAAGAAATTCTGCATAGATTTGGGCACCTCGTTGCTGCCATTGTGAAATCAGGAAATAGCAAATTATCTAAGATATTTTACAACAAATAGATGCGTACAGTTCAGCAAGATTATGAAACATTATGAAAAAGATAACGTTGGAAAATATAATATGGGGCAAAGATGAGAAATGCGGCAAAGCCTTGGGCAAAAGGATGATCCACCGTAACAGGTGATGTTGCTCTTTATAGGACTAGTAGCTAAGGAGAAAAAAACACAATTGAAATGGTAGTTAAAAATAAATACACTAACCATACCTTAGCGTGTTCTAATTCTTCTAGAAGCAAAACTCCAGCTCCCTCCCCCATAACAAATCCATCACGATTCTATATAAAAAAAATGTTAAGCATCAAAATCGGAGTAGCAAGGTACACCACAGCAACAAACAGAAATTATTATATTTTCCTATCAAGAAAAATTGCATCCAGAAATTATTGTTATTGTTATTATTATTATTAGTTATTTATTTTGTAAAAGAATCCTGTAATGATTTATCCACCTCTTTGCAAGATTTAAGTTTTTTAGATAAGAACACCCAGGTTTAGACATTCCGTCTTCAAGGTCAATGCTTTTATTTATTCATGACCACAGTTTTTGTGTACTGAAAAACTAAGATTTGCACAATCAGTAAAGTAAACAAAAAATGAAGCTGACGTTACAATATCCCAAGGCCGTGAAGCTTTGGTAGGATCACTGTTCCTTTGTGAAAGCGTATTGCAAGCAACAAAACCTCCCAAACCTAGAAACAGTAAAAGAAAACAGATTCACTCCAAATATTTCAAGCAGAAAGAACTAAAATTTAATTAACATAATAAATAGAAGAAATACCAATGGGTATGATTGCTGAATCTGAACCTCCGCAGAGCATTACATCCTGCACATAACAATCAGAAACTATGTAGTAACAATTTTAACATTTAAATTGCTACTTTTCTATATTACTTCTTTAAAAAATAAACTAAGCTGGTGCCTCCAATTAAACTCCATAAAAAAGTATATTTATCCGAATATTATTCTTACATGAAACAAGAACAAGGTAAAGCACATGGAATACTTCAGTTGATTTGAGAATTGATGTCAAGAAAACATAGGATTCGTTTAGTACTAATATGAAACACTTTTCTCTAGCACTTCTGGGAGAAGAAAACACTGAAGTACTCGTTTGCTTATAGATGTTAAACCACTTATTTGCTTTACTTATGTAGGAGGAGATTGAATAGCAGCAATGAAGGAGATCACATATTGTGCTGACTAAGGGCTAAAAGTCTATACATAGAGACAGTTGGGGAAAAACAAACAAGAGGCTTTTAGTGTGTAGCTAGAGAAAGGGAGGGAAGACAGGAAAAGGATATGCTGTGAATTTGTGGGACTAGAGTGTCTACTTTAGAATCTAGTAGAGTTTCGAAGCCTCTTGAGTGACCAGTACTTTGTAATCCCCATATTTTCCAAAATATTCTGTAGAAGTTTCTCTTCGGAGCCTATCAACTTGCTTCCTCCGAGGCACTTTCAAATGTTTTTGAAATGTTCAAACATACTAGTCAAACTTCACAAAAAAAAAAAAAAAAAGATGCACAATGAAAAGTAATTTTACTTTCCTTGGTAGGATATTGGAACTATGGCAAAACACTAGTAGTCAAGTAAGTTGTACCCAGAGAAAGAGAAAAGGAGGAAACTACATCAATACACTCTTTAGTTTCTGAGCAAGATATGACTTACAGCTTCGCCTCTAATTATGTGATTAGCTGCATTTAGTATACAAAAGTTGCTCGTAGCACAGGCAGTAGAAATTGAATAGTTTGGGCCCATCCATCCCTACATTTTCAGAATAATTATTTCACAACAATGTCAAAGAAATCAATAGCTCCAATACCTTTATTTTATTTTATTTTTTTATTTTTTTTTTGTACTGTGTCCATAAAAAGGATCAACTGACCAGATCCATAGCTAGCATGGCAGAACCCATATTTGTCGTAGCAAATGGAACACAGAAAGGATTCATCTTCTTGTATGAAATTCGCAGTGCTTCAATTGCATCATTAAAGACCTATTCAATATGTGTTAATTGGAAGAAGTTCTGATAACAACAATAATAACGATGAATTAAATTAACAACAAAAAAAGTGAAGCTGTTTTTTTTTTCTGTCCCATATGAGTAAAGTCCTTCGTTATCCTGTAGGATATTTCAATAAAAATCTATATAAGGATTAAGATACCAAAACTTACAGGTCACAGTTCTATAACAAGTAATATTTTTCCAACATAAAGAACATAGGTAAAATTACAGCTTGGTTACATATTTCCCTCCAAATCACTCCCCTGGCTTCAAGCAAAGAATTAGGGATTACCTTCATGCCTCCCATTGCTGAACCAATCAGTACTCCACATTTAGTTTTATCCAACTCTTCCATAAGCTCTTTTGTAATTCCACCATCCTCCAGGGCTTTTTTGCCAGCAGTAAGCGCGTAAAGCATAAATTTGTCCATTCTCCTAGAGAACTTTGGTGCGACCCATCCATCAGTGGAGAAAGTCTTAATCTCGCCAGCAATTCTCTGAAAAAGAGAAGAATCAAAATTCAGACCAACAAATGAACAACAATGGTTTCAGAATTTTTTCGAGTAATGTATATTTACCGTGGGGAATTGGGAACAATCAAATGCCTCTATCTCACTAATTCCACTGACACCCTCAAGCAAATTGTTGTAGAAGACGTCAAGATCATGCCCCAAAGGCGTCACCACACCCATTCCAGTGACAACTACTCTTCTTTGTTTTGTATGGTGTTTCTTTTTGGTTCTCACATCTTCAGCTGGATGAACAGCTATGGCGACGGTCTCACCTGGGATTTAAATAAAATGACAATACAATATTGGGGTTCAGTGTTCATTTCATTTTTTTCACAGAATATTCCACACGTCCCTGTTTCTACTAAATAAAGTTTTTCAGGTCCAATGAAGTCAGAATCCTACAGGAAAAACAAATTCAAATTATAAACAGAACTTGTACCAACTTTTTAGGACCATTGAAACCTCATAATTGCAGGACCAAGAAACAACAAGCTTCAGTACATTGGTGATAGATATACAAACTCCAGAATGAGGTAATTACCAAGATAAGCTTGACAAAACTATTTATGTTGAGGACAGAGAATATGTACACTGGTCACACAACCCAAGAGAATATAGGTTTTGGGTTTGAGACATGAGTGAGGCAACTTAACTATATCGAAGTCAGGTTTGGGAGTGCACTTCGTGTGACTCAAAAAAAAAAAAAAAAAAAAAAAAAAAAAAAAAAAATTGATGTGANNGAGTTGGGTCAGAGACAAATAACAAAGGCTACAACCTTACAACGTAATAAATGGATTCAGCAGCGGTGGAAACACATAAATGCAACTTAATTCAATAAAACCCGTTCTACCGATGAGGTTGAAAGGCAGAAAATAGAGATGAATCTGAATCGAGAGCCAAACAGATATAAAGAACTCGAGGAACACCAGATTCTTCCCAAGAAATTCCTAAATTAATCTTATTATCCCCTCCTTTAACAGTTCTTTTGAGAAATCGGCAGTAGAATTATGAAAACAAAAGCTAAAGGTTCCAGTCAAGTATAGCGAAAAGCCGGAAGCAGCAAGCCAAACAAGCAGATTCGAATCAGTACGCAAAGAAGATACTAATTCCAAAGCTCGATACAAACTCCATAAACCATCAATGAAGCGCCACAGAACAGGTAAAAAAGATCGAAACAAAAACCCGCGAATGATAATAGAAAAACTCAATCACCTGAACGCAAAGCCCGATTCGCACGCCTATGCCGGCGGTTGGCGGGGAGAGTCTTAGGTCCAAAAAGTGAGGAGAAGCCATTGTTACCTAAGGAGGAGAAAGAAGAAAGAGAAAAGCCACTGTTACAGTAGTCATCGCAAGGCTCGAAAGCGAGGCAGGAGTTCATGAGGTCATGAATATTGAATCCACGGAAGGAAGAAATCAATCCAGCATTGAATTGGGAGCTAAAACTGCAACATTTGGACAGCGCCTTCCTCTTAGAGGTGGATGTCGATCTCTTGGAAGAATGACGGATAGGGGCATTGAAGGAATGGTCCTTGAAGCAACTAGCGGACATGCAAGCGGCTACAAGCCAAGTACAAAGAGGAGATGCAACAGCAAAAGCAGCCATGGAAGGAATGAAGAAGAAGAAGAAGAAGCAGCAGCAGCAGAAGAAGAAGAAGAAGAGATAATTACAGAAGTGGTGGCGCAGTGAGTAAGAGATTGATTGAAGGTTGCATTTGATTTCTTCGTGGTTGTCTCAGAAAGCGTTGAAAGTGATGAGAAGAAGACGCCAAGTATCGGCTTCCAGCAATCTGAGTCGTCTGAGGAAGAGAACGACAGGTGCTCTTCTCTGCAATCTCTCTCCCCTTCTCTCTCTTCCGCTTCGCTCTTTCTCTCTCTAAACAAATGAAATCAACAGGAAGAAGATGCGCTACACAAAATTATGAAGATCTGTGACCAGAAATATTTTTCATTTCTTTTCATTTTTTAATTAAATTATTTTATTTATTTATTTATTTATTTATTCATCCATTTTTTTTTTTTTTATTATTTAGAAAGAAAAAAAAAAACAGAGATAATCCAATGAAAATTAAAATGCTGGCCACGTGGTGGAGCGGAGCTTTTTTCAAGTTTTGTCACATTTCAGGCGTTTTTAAATATATATATATATATTTTATTATTTAATATATCACGTATATATATATATATAATAATAATAATTTTTTAAATATTATTAAAAATATAAAAAACATGACACCAACCTAGTTTAATATGGGTGTCATTGTGTGATGTCTCATATTGGTTGGAGAGAAAAACAAACTAGGTGTGGAAACCTTCTGCGTTTTAAAGCCGGTAGAGAAAGCCCAAAGAAGATAATATCTAATAGTTGTGAATATGGGCCGTTACATGTTGTCTTAGTTATTTTTTTTATTATTATTATTATTATTATCTTGATATCTTTACTTAGCAAGTAATGTGAACAAAAATAGAAGGTTATTTATTATAAATTAAATGAATTTGGAAGAAAAATTCTAAAATACTTCTTTTATGTTTCTAATTAATTAAAATATATCGACTATATGGTAATGTAATTTTTAATTAAAATAACCCTAATTTTTAAAAATTAATGGAAGGTTAATTATTGAGAAGGATTAAAATCAAATTTTATCAACTAAATAAATATAATATAATTTTTATTTTGTTTTTATTTAATATAGTTTTTATTACCAGGACCATTATTAATGTAAACATTGTCAAAATTTCTTATTAATGGTGCTGATTAATAATTAAGCGAAATTTAATAGTACTTAGGTCACATCAGTTCTCATATTTTAGTTAATTTAATTAATAAAAAAACATTTAATAATATTTGTAATAAATGTCGTTGAATTAATTTAGGTAATTAAACAACATGACATGTTAATAATGAAAGTGAATAAATAATATTTCAAAAATATTTTATAATTATGATAGTTAATAATGAATTAAATCATCCAAATTAATTAATTATAGTTATTGGAAAAATAAGTCTTATACTCGATTAATTTAAATAATTATAATTATATTTTGTACCCTAGTAATCTAAAAAAACTGGTCCTTAATCTATTGGTTAATTCTCAATTCAGTTCTTAATTTTTAAAAATTTAATATTTGCCCCAATTAGTTTTAAATCTCTTTAAATCTCAATTTTACTAAAAATGTAATAAAATTTATGAATTGGAAAACCCTTAAATTAATGTTTTACCGTTAAATTATTTTTACAGTCGTAATATACTCTTTTATCTGTTATGGGATCAAAAGTTATGGTCACGTAGGCAGAATTCAAATATCATACTCGCTTTATTTGAGTTGTGTTCATGTAGGCAGAAGTCCCTTATTTCTCTCGTGTTTAGTTAATATTGTTTGTGGTAGAAAATTCGAACATTAGACTTCCTGATTGATGGTATATACTTTTGTTGAGATAGGTTCGGGTTGACAAAACACTTTTATCTCGATTATTTTCAAATTTTTTAATTTTTAAAAATATTAATTTTATAGTATTATTATATTCATCTTATTTTGATTATTGGCCAAGCATTTCCTATCCAATTGGGTGGGCCCATCGGTCCACCCAACTCCCACCGGCAATGGCTTTCGCTCGCCTATTTACCTAAATCCTTGCTATCATTTTACATGGTTGTGGTTCCTTTTTTATGACCTAATTCTATGTTCATGAATGTTTCTAGTAAAGTTCGGGCTCGAGTATTTTGGTTAGATGAACACGACTCTCCACAATGGTATGATATTGTCCACTTTGAGCATGAGCTCTCATGGCTTTGCTTTGAGCCCAAAATGCCTCATACCAATGAAGTTAGTATTCCTCACTTATAAACCCATGATCATTTCCTAAATTAGCTGATGTAGGACTTTCATCATCCAACTGGGTTTTGCTCACGTCTCGAATGAATTCAAGGACATATTCGAAGAAATTCTGACCGTCAGTAGGAATGGGTTGTGGATTACGAACAGCTATAATGGCTGAACCTAATAAGATAGCAATTACAACCCAATAAGTAATAAGTACTTGGGCATGTACTTGGAAACCTCCTATTTGCCAATACAAATGTTGGCCGACTTCCACACCAGATATATCGTATAACCCTTTTTGTGTGTTGATAGAACATAATAGAATATTAATATTGCCCTTTGGAGTCGAACTCGTGAGCCCATGGACGAGCATTTAGAGACAAATCTTTAGCTTAGTGGGCTTTTTTATTTAAAGAAAAGCCCATTTATCAATGATCAAAAGGCTTCCTAGCTATTTAGGTGCGATGTACAGTCACGATTGTTCTCATATATCAATTCCTTGTTGTATTTTGAATTTATTATTTTTTATTGTAAAGGTCTCACAAACTCATTTTCAATTTATAATAATTTTGAACAATACCCATTTGTAATTATATTTTGATTTGTGTTTTAATTTGGGTGTTGTTTGGTTTAATTTGATTTAAATTTTACCTTTTTTTTATCTTTTATTTTATTTACTTTCGTCTTGTCTTTTTAATAAAATAAATACATGCAAAACACGTGGCTATTTATAATTTTTTATTCAAAAAATTGCCCACGTGTCCCCTAGTACAAAAACCGGATGCCGGAAGTGCCGGCTCATCCCGGTCTCTCTTTTTCCTATGGTCCCGCGACTGTGTGCTTATTATTCACCGTTTAAGATGATTCTTATATTTTTTTTTTAATTTATATCTTTATTTGAATTTGTTTAATATTTTTAAAAAACAAAATCATAAAAGCCACTTAGGTTCTGTTGTCACTCAATCTCGTTCTTACTTAAGTATCTAAATGACTTCCAAGATTTTTGACCATTTGTTTCCATGCATATTTTATGAAACTCTTTAATGTAGATCGTCAAATCAACTTCCTTTTAAACAATATGAACTAGACTAAGCCATATACAGAATAATTACGGAGCTTTGGTCGAGACCCACGTGGGTCAGCCAATCGTCATCATTTAGAGTCCGTAAATTTGGGTCGGTCACAATGGACTTTGACCTCTTCTTTCTCATGTTTTGTCTTCAAATCTCTAAGATTCTTTTCTTGACCAAACTATCTAGATTCACGACCAAAAAATTAAATATTTTAATTTATCTACAAAGAAAAATACAAACTTTTGAAGAAGAAAAAAAAACAGAGAAAATTCTTCTTTTAAATTTAATTATGACCAATTTGCCCATTACCAACTTTTATTTAAAGCACGTGCCTTTTATTATTTTATGTCCACTGAACATTCTTTTCTTTTTCTTTTCTTTTTAAATTCATTTTAAATCCACACGTGAGCTAATAGACACTTGGCTTCTACATGTTAATCCAAAAATTATTCTAATATACACAATATATTTACTTTAAAAAAAATTAATTTTTTATTACTAAACTTTCAAAATATTTATATACTTATTTTTATTTAAATCTCGATTTTAATTATTGACCTACTCGAAGCGAGCATTCAAACCGTTGCTCAAGCTTCTCAAACTAAAACGATACTTTTTTTAAATAGAGATGTCTACGGGATAAAGTGAGGACGTGAAATTCTACACGTCTTTTTCAAATTTTTATTTAAATGAAATTTTTTCACTCCAATCCCAGTCGGTCAAGGATCCCGACCCTATAAATCAAACGAACATGAGTTAATTAGATAGTTAGCTCGATTAGCACGAACACGTGAGAGATGATTTAAAGCACGTGTAAAATCAGAATCATGATGGGCCAAACCCCAAAGCTGATCCGCTGAACCCGCGTCATCCGTCTTGAAAAGTGTCCCCACGCCCACGCGGTCTGCTGGTTTCCCTTCAACGCGCCTCCGCCTTCAGTCCAAGTCCACACATTTCCTCCCTCTTTCTTCCCCATATTTATACCACTCCATTCAGCCGCAATATCCTCACTCGTACCTCACACAATTCCGCCACCATTCCCCACCGCCGCCGCCACACACGCACACACCCACCACCTTCTTATATGGCCAAGCCCTCCTCCCCTCACAAATCCGCCGCCCACACCAGAGATTCCCCTTACAAGGGGGTCCGCCGCCGGAAATGGGGCAAATTCGTCTCTGAAATTCGTCTCCCCAATAGCCGCGAACGGATCTGGTTAGGCTCCTATGATTCCGCCGACAAGGCGGCGCGTGCTTTCGATGCTGCCCTTTTTTGTCTACGTGGCCGCTCCGCTCGCTTCAATTTCCCTAACAACCCACCGGATATTCCCGGTGCTACTCTGCTTTCCCGAGCAGAGATTCAAACCGTCGCCGCCCAATTCGCCAACTCCGACCCATCTCCCTCAACGGCATATTCCCAACCCATCGTCGATTCGCCGTCGCCGTCGGTAGCTTCGGAATTAACAACCTCCGTAACAGAGTGTGATGAAATATCATCGTTTTTGGATTTTCACACCAATATGGGATTGGAACCGGAGAATTACGGGTCGGAGTTCGGGTCTTTTCTGCCCGAGTATAACCCGTTTTTGGATGAAATATTCAATTCTTCTACAGCTCCTTGTTTTGATTATGGAGATGAGAATTTTGACGCCATGACCACTCATCAGGATTCGTTTCTGTGGAATTTCTGAAGAAAAAAACAGAGTTCTGAGGGTTTTTAGTTTCAGAGCTTTGGGTTTTTGGCGGCTCCGACCTCTTAAAATTTAGTAGCTTTCGAGATGTTTCTTGTCGGAAGATTGATGGACCCAACATTTTTTAGCTCGGCCATTGATTCTTCTATCCTCATTGTTCCAAATGTGTAAACAATTGTAGTGGTAAATGGTAATTATTGTTTGTAAAAAAAATAAAAATTATGTTCTTTTTAGTAAAAAGGATTTGAATTATTGGTAAAAAAAATTGTTGGACACTTTCTATTGCCCCCATAGTGAGTGGTGCAGATTCAAAGATGCCA